TTGTGGAAACATCCCCAAGATGCTTCAAGAAACCTACCTGCAAAACTACAGTACTGTTAAGAGTTTTAGGCACTTGTGTAAAAATGCTGTAAAATGAGGATGCTGTCAAAAATAATGTCATAAATAGATTTTATTTATTAATTAACTTCTATTAACTAAATTAAATTAACATTTGGTGTGACCATCCTTTGTGTTTAAAGCAGCTTTTGCCCTAGGTGCACTTGTGTTGCCACAGTTCTTCTAGATTTAGTCTGTCTCAGTTTGTTCTGTTTCTACATGTCATTCCAGAAAGACTGGATGATGATGAGATCAGATCTCTGTGTGGAACATATAAATATTTCATACATATACAGATATAATATAAATAAATAAATATTATATAGAAATTCATTAATTATTTTGTGTGTGTATATATATTATATCTGTATTATATCTGTATTATGTCTGTATTTGTATGAAATGTTTATAATTATATGTAATACAAAATACAAATTATAATTATAATTTATAAAAATAAAATATTTATATATAATATAAAAAAAATCTAAAAAAGCAATATTTATCAAATATTACTTAAAATATTTTTCAAATATAAATCTTTAATATAGTATAATATAATATTTTTTTTTACTTGCATTAAATATATGGCAACAGTTGCTGTATGAAAAAATTGGATGGTAAACCAGAACATAAAAGCAGAGATATTGTCACAAGGCTGAGATGTTCTTTGGCTATTATCGCCCATCTTTAGTGACAGCCCTAGTTTTGTGCATTTGCAGTTTTATTGGGCAGAGTCTCGAGGTGCGAGAGGGCTGTTAATGGATAAAAATCAAGTATGCAAATTGGTTCAGTCCATTGACGTCAGAGACTGAATTGTATGCCATCTGGGGACACCCTGACCAGCCATCTAAAAGCTGCGCTCAAGTGCTTGTCTTTTTCTGCATATGCACAGGTTCAAGACGTGCCAGGTCTTGTGTTTTCACACCGAACCTTTTTCTGTATCATCTTCTCCAAAGGATCCCCTTGTGATTTTAAGTTCACATGGATGAGTACTTGCCAGAAACAAAGAAAATACAACAGCGAAAGGTGGATGTTCATCAAGTCCTCTCACAAAGCAGCTCTTATGCTGTCTTCTAGTTGTGTTTTGTGCTAGCAGTGTCTGTAACATCTTAAAAAAATAAGCCTGTGCTACCTACCTTTAAGAAACAGCGAGTACGGAAACTACGTGTTCGGCACACAAAGGCCTCTTTCGAGTGCTGCGGTCATAGAAAGCTCCACCCACCATTCTGGGACAGCCAATCATACTTGCATCTGCATAATGAGCAGCTATGAGTGTCTGTTCTTGAATTAATCTCTGAATGGCCCAGTGTAATGGACAGGAGAGCAGATTACACTGGACAGATGATGCAGGTTTAATTTAGTGAAGCAGGTTTCTCCGCTCCAGCTTCCTCCCGCTGCTGGGAAATTGCAGTGTGAGTGCACTGGAGGCTGGACTTCTAACGGAGTTGCGCTCACGTTCAGCCCTTCAGCATGTGTGTTTCTCTCACATGAGATTGAGTTTTTAAGTCACGGATTGACCAGTCACTCAAATAAGAGGTGTTTAGAGATATAGGACAACTTACACACTTATTTCGTTGCATGGCTACTTGAATAGTTACATAAAAAAATTGAAAAGGAGGCCTAATGATCTGATATTTGAATAAATTTATATATATATATATATATATATATATATACAGTATCTCACAGAAGTGA